ACACGAGGATCGACGGGTGATTGCGAACATTGTCACCGTCGCCTTCTTCTTTCTCCTTCGTCCAGGAGAATACACCGGGACCACCACCGATGACACGCCATTTGCCCTACAGGACGTGGCAGTGTATCTCGGGGACCGCCGTCTCGATTCCATGACAGCACCACTAGCTGAAATCGAAGCCGCTACCACGGTAGCCTACAATTTCACCACACAAAAGAATGGCCAGACCAACGAAGTTCTCACGCATGGGCGCAGTGGGCATCACTTGTGCTGCCCAGTCAGAGCCACTGTCCGGCTGATCGCGTACCACAGAACACAATTCAATGCCGCCAATCAACCACGATCAACCGCTACGACGCCCATTGCCTCCTACTACCGGAACAACCGACGTGTTCCGGTCAAAGCCAAAGACATTACCGACGTCCTCCGTACGTCGTGCACAATCCTACAACACCGAACAGGCATCCCAGCCACGGATATCAGTGCTAGATCTCTTCGCGCGGGAGGCGCTATGGCCCTCCTCTGCGGCAAAGTCGACAGCGATATCATCAGGATGCTTGGTCGGTGGCATAGCGATTCCATGATGCGCTACCTCCACCTACAGGCTCAGCCCATCATGCGACAATTTGCATCCGTCATGTTCAACAATGGCACCTACACATTCCTCCCCGAAGAGTCAGTGCCAATCCAGGAATACGACGATGCGACCTAACAACAACAAACGCCACTACGGGGGTCGCCCTACCGCACCGAAATCCTCCGTTAAATCTTCTCGCACCTCCGGCACTCGCCCCTTAAATCCAGTACCGTTCCGCGAACACACATCCAATTCGCCTCACTTTTTCGTCCAATTTCAGCACTCCAACGAACCAACACACTCCATCAACGACCGACGCCCATATCACCGTCCTATTACTACAACAATCCCCACCCTCATCCCGGCTACGCCGCGATTCCCACCCATCACCACCGATGGCGGACCAAGGGTGGCAAAGGAGGCCGCTAGGCCGCAAAAAGGAAAGTGGTGTGGCCCTTAGTAAAGCACCATTACCACCACACCTAGCACCTCCAACAACAAACCATGAAGTTGCAGAAGCCTAGATGGGCAGCCGCGTAGCGGCTGCGTTTCTAGGCTGGCGCGCTGAGTGGATGGTCTTGAAGTGGGCTCATAGCCCAGCACAAACTCAACAAGAGAGGAGGCTACACCTCCTCACAATCAAGTCATTACTCACACCTAGACTAGTAGTTTTAATCGGCTCCCACCACTCCCACCCACGGCCGCTAGGCCGCAAAAAGGAAAGTGGTGTGGCCCTTAGTAAAGCACCATTACCACCACACCTAGCACCTCCAACAACAAACCATGAAGTTGCAGAAGCCTAGATGGGCAGCCGCGTAGCGGCTGCACCACACGATTTTGCTACTCTAGACTTGCAGTATTTGAAAAGTATTTTTGTAATTTTACATTCTTGGACCAAGGCTGTCTTCCAGAGCTTTCCCTTTTTGGACTTGAGACTTTGTTGCAGCAGCAGTTGTGAGACATCTAAAACAGCCATCCTCCTTATGACAACATCATCATGACCTCTCCACCCTACTACTAGTAGTTATTGATTAAAAAATAGTTTTGAATACAAAAACTACATGTCACTATTCAAAGCCACCGCTTCAGGGATCGGCTGCAACTTCTGGGCATCTCGTTCCGACAGATACCCCTTCTTCAGAAATGCTGCTGGCACTTCAGTATTGGGTGCCATGTTGTAGATGTTCATCTTGTATCCGGCCATCCATAACCTTGCTGCCTCTTCCAAAATTTCCTGGTCATGGAACGCAGAGGTAGGATGGAACTCTGTTTCTGAAACAACAATTCGAAGTTGCTTGTTACTGTTGCCGTTGCCAACCTCACTAGCAGGAATTCCCACAAAGATATCAGCCCGGAACATGTCCTTGTTCTTGCCCAACTGTTCAGCCAATGCAACTATTTTGTCATACTGGAGCCATTCTGGAATGGTAGTCCAATTTGCGTTGGTGTTGGCACAATCAACCATCGTTCCATTGCGATAGGCGAGACCGACATACGGTCCAGACCCACGCTTGAGGTAACTAATATAAACTCTTCCCCAAATGGTAAAGGTTTTGAATTCGTAGGCAGCTTTGGAGTCATCATTGCTGTCGTCCCAGGCACCACTGTATCGTTCTTCCACAACAAATCCCGGTTGCGCATGTTTCAATGCCCATGATTCAAAGTCTGCTGCAGTATCATGCAAATCCTGAACCACCCGCTGGGCAATGCTTTTTTCGTCGAATTTGTCGGATGTTGGTTTGCCACTGTATCCCATAGACTGCTTTTGTGATTGAGGATCATACCGTACCAACCACACGCCACTCGACGAAGACATGTGCGTTGGTTTGACCACATAACTGGTTCTTGGTGGCAAAAGTTTGCGAACCGAAGTGATTTCTTCTTGTTGACTTTGGTGAGAAGGATGGTGATGGTGGTGAGAGTTTTGTTGCAGGCGTCGGTTGCTGACAAGTTCCTTTTGATACTGAAGAGAAAATGCTTTGGGAATTGGATATCCCACATGTTTCATGTATCGCTTTTGTGCGACCTTGTCCATGTAAAAGATCAGGCTCTTGTGCCGCAGATCCCTATGATAATGCACCAAATCCCACCAACCCTCGTCGCCCTGGATTTGGTCTCCGATATCAAAGTTATCAAATAGATTGTACTTGGATGTCAAGTGGATGATTGCCTTCTTTTGATTCGTATCCTCTTGTTCATCTTCACTTTCAAAACCATAGCGAGCCAAGTTGACCCCATTGACGACAAAATCGTCCAACGTGAATCGATTCTTTTGGAAACGCCGTTTGGGTTTTGAGTACAACAATGCAACACCACCTGAATTGATATCTTGTTTCACGTCATATCGACGAACACTCAGACCATCCAAGTTTCCAGTAATTCCATCTTGTCGTCCGCGATCCAGGAGCAGTAGTGTTATCAAAACGAGCGTTACTGCCAACAGGACAAGCATCAGCCTCAACAAAGAGCCTCTACTAATCTTCTTGTTGTTGCTGTTGTTGTTGATCGTCACCATGGTTGGAGTTTGATGAGAAAGTGGTCGGACAACAAAGACGAAAAGTGACCCAGAATGAAGAGAGCCGTCGCCGGCCCTCGCTTTTGAATTTTAAATTTTAAAGCGTGCAAGGCTGTTATTAGCCTTGGCTGAACATGGATGCTGGGGGTCTCTGAGCACCCATATTTTCTTCATTCTTCTTCAAACGGCGAAGCAACGGTCAAGGGAAAAGATTGCGGCCCAGAAGAGGAATGAAGAGGAGAGGAGGGGGGAGGAGGTTCTAGCTAGGAATTAACTACATGTACATGGTTAGCTGGTTCTGCCTGGCCATCAAGCAATCATATCGCATAGAGCACCTTGTGTCTCTTGTCCTTGTGGTGGTTGCCAATAGGCCCCAGATTGAACTGCTGTCGAAGCCAAACTGCTGCATCATTCTTAGAGAGCTGTGAAACCATTGATCTCTTTAGTACCTTTTTGTGTTGTGGCTTTGCAGCTGGTTTCTTAATTAGGGGGATCCAATCCTGCTCCCTGTGCAGCCCTGATATCATATCCCTGCTGTTTTAGCAGAGCTTTCACAAAGGGTGATCGAATCATTCCACCCGGGTCAAGTAATGTGTCCTTCCTCCTGCACATTGCCCTTTCCTTTGTGCTTGATGGCTCTGGATTCTGGATTGGTGCCATGATGGATCTCCCCTTGAGGAAAATGTATTTCCAAATCAGTGTCGAGGTGATACGGTAGGGCATGCAGATTGGGCAGGTCACGACAGAGAGAGACAGAGAGAGACTATGACACACTTTCAAACAGGGAGCTAATAAGCCTGGAGCTTTTGCTAATAATAATGGTTTCTTGCTACAGCTTCCAAAGCTGTAGCCGCCATCAGTATATATTTGATCCAAGCAACGAAAGCCCGACCACAGCATGATGTGCCATCAGCCCTACTCGTCCATCTCGGTTATCAGCGATTCATACTTCTCCAGAAGTTGGGCCACCTGACGTTCCGCATCCACCAATTCTTGCTCTGCATTGAACACCAATGCTTCTTGGCCTATCTCTCTGCCATGTTCGATGAGAACATTCCTCGTTTCTTCCTCGTCGATCCTTTCCGCCAACAGGAAGCAGATTTCCGCACTCAGGCTGTCAGCGCAACGACCCAGGGCACCCAGGCGCCTATTGGCCAAGGTTCCAAAACTCAAACGGTCGCGGTCCAATGCCCATTCGGCGTATTCCTCCAACGTATCCTCGTCCAAATCGGATGTCCCCACCAAGTGAAGAAGCATCATGATCGGCTCATACACTGGAAGGAAGAATGATGACTTTCCTTCTCCAAAGAAGGTGCTGAATGGCTTGACGACCAATCGATCAAAGTGCTTTCTCGCTTGCGCAGCTACGCCTGTGTCTTTCATTACCAACACCACAGGGTACATCATGACAAACGACTGGTGGACATCGCTGCGGTCCATCTTTGGCATCAGCTTCCCAATCACGAACCGACAAGCGTCCAGTGCGGCTTCTTTGTCCCCAAGGTGCCAGTACCACATTGCAGAATTTGCGAAACTCACGGCTGCCTCGTCACTGCCATATGTGTCACGAAGTTTCTTTGAATGCTTCACGTGGTCGTAGACGTTGTACAAGAGCTTATGAATTCCCACCGCCTTGTCCATTTCACCACCGCGACGATACAAGTCGATTTGGCACGTTAGCGCGTGTGCATGGTGGAACGTTTCAGAATGATTTTTCGTGTCCTCCAAGAATTTCTTGATGAGCAATTGTTCGTAGCGGTTAGAATTGTCTTGAACAATGTATTTTGCTTTGATGCATTCGTAGAGACCACAGTATGCTGGGAAAGCAACGGAACGATCCGTGACATTCTCGGCTTGTTTGGGCCTTCGAAGAATCTGGGCAGCGATTGAACCAGGGCACAATCAGAACCGAACAGTAGAGGACTGCAAGACAACAAAAGCCCTCCGAAAAACTCACCTGCAAGGCATCATGGAAGGACAGAGCGCTATCAGCATTACGCTGCGCGCCGTTGAATGCACGCCCCAGTGCAACATGGAGCGCTGAAATGTGTTCCAACTCTTCTGGCGCTGTGGCGCCAAGCCCGTCAAAGCATATTCCTGAAATCAAATTACTCGTAAGATATCTTCAGGTCTGATCAACGGCGACGAAAGCGCGACAAGAAAATACTCTCAACTTACCGCCGACTTGCTCGGTTGGCTTGTCACTCTTCCATGCATCTAGTGCCTCCTCATATACCCGGATACTCTGCGTAGGCATTCCTAACTTTTGTTCGAAGCGTTTTCCAACATCAAGTGCGAGCTCGGTCAACTTGGACGTGTTTCCGCTGTATTTCCAATGCCCCAAAAGTTTCATTTGGAATGCAAAGTCGCCGTCTTCCATTCCCTTGCCCTTTTCCATCGACATGGCGATCTTTGAGTGCACATCTCGCTTCCGTGCATCCAACATAAGGCTCAAAATCGTCGTTTGCCAGATACCGTGATAGAAAGAGTAGATTGAGGATTCAGGTTTTCCTTTTGCGTCGCGCGCCTTGCTTTCTTCTTCCTCGTCTTCTGCATCTGGATCTTGTTCCATTCGAAGAATTCCCTCATTCACTGCCATTTCCAACGACTTGATCGCTTCCTTTTCGAGTATGTCCTCACGCATATCGTGGTTCTCTTTGAGAACAGCAATAACCTCCTTCAAAGTGAATGACTTCCCGAGAACAGCGGCAATATTGAGTATATTTCTTACACCAACTGAGACAACAGCACAATTTGATAGGTTAGATGGATCATCCGGAAGCCAAATTGGCGTCAAAGCATCCACCAGAAAAGCACGTACCGTCAAACGAGTCAATTCTGTGAAGAATGATTTCTGGCACGGATCCAAGAGCATTGGGTCCCATCATGCTCGTTTCTCCTCCTGAACTTGCTTTGGGGGCTCGTCCATCCATCATTTCAGTAAATTGGCGTCGCTTCACCAACTCCAAGAACTCGTTTGCAAAATGAGGCATGCCGCCCGACTGAATCAGTACTTCGTTCAGAAGATCATGGGGGACCTCCTCTCTCTGCAGGCCCAGTGTCTTCATCGTCATGACTGTGATTTCTTCCTTCCCAAGACCCGCAAGTTCCATCGGAACAAAATGTCCGGAGGGTCGATACTTCTGATTCAAAACTTGCCAAAAGTCTGCTTCGACCTTCAAGTCACGGCTTCTGGACAAATCAAACGCACAGATCATGAGAACATTGTCACAATCTTCGAACACCCTTCTGAGGACTTTCCAGGTCATTTCGTCAATATATTGCACGTCGTCCAGTGCAACGACAACAATCTTGGTTTCCTGCGTACATCTTCTGAAGGCCCGTTCCATGAAAGACACCATTGACTTCATGGAAGGAGCCTTGCCGGAGGGAAGCTTGCTCGAGCCCTTGCCGCTAAGGTGATGCAGAATGTGGTCAACGAAGCCGCTTGGTGCGTTGAGTTCTCTGCAGAGAACCTTTAGAAGCTCCTCGGACTTGGCAAGAGAAAGCGCCGTCGACGATCCCTGAGATCGGCACGACAGACTTTGGAGAGACAGCGATTGCGCTGAAAAGCCCGACACGCCCGATGCTTGTGATTTGTCATCAGTGCTGGCTGCGAAGTTTGCTAGAACATCAAGCAGAATCGAACGAAACATGCTAAAGAGGCAGTCGGTTCCGAGACGTAAGATATGGTGTGCACCAAAACGCGTGAATTTCACGACGGCAAGAAACTCACCCAAAAGGCACCAACGAGTGGCTTTCTTTCCCCACCTGTTTAGTGATCACCAAGCGCCTTGTATTGTCGCCAATCAGCCTTCGAATGTGCTCAATTGCATGGGCCACCATTGTACTTTTCCCCATTCCACTTTGAGACGCGACAAAGACAAGGCGCGACTGAGGCTCTTCCTGGCTTACAATGTCTCGTGCCATTCCCATCAAAGCCTTGATCTCTTGCTCCCTGCCAACAAAATTTGGTTGGATCCTACCCCAACTACGCTCTAGGGGACTGAGAGGCTCGAAAATTGGGACAGGTTCTGCGTAACCCTTGGCCTTCACCGGCGGAAGAGCGTTAAAGGCGTACTTCCTGGAGGCCATTCTGCGGATGTTACATTCAACCAAGATTCCAGGGTTGTTCTTGTTACCCATCAATCGAGCTGCAAGATTCGCCGACGGTCCAAGCACAGCGTATTCTATTTGACCAAATAGTGACAGCTGTGAGATGCACAAGAAGGTCGCAGGAGCCAAGAGGCGCACGTGAACATGACCATGACCATGAACACAAGTACTCACCGTGACGTTTGACTCCACCCACTGCACCGCAATACACTTCTCCAAAAGTGGCACCGATCCGGTTGTCAACTCCAAGTTGAGATTGCAATGCATTGTGAAGAGCGATTGTTGCAGGCAGTGCCCGTTCCGCAACCCTGGTTAAGCCGAACATAAGAAAAGAAAGTTAGTCAATGCTACAACCGAGAGAGCCAATCCTGGAAGCGGTGGCTTACATATTCGGGAATGTGGATCCACGCAGCCCAAATGTTCCAATTAATACCAGCCCTTTATCATCCACAATCATCTGACGCAGGTGCCCACAATATCGTTCGAGCTGGGTAGACGTGAGATTCATGATTTCGTTTAGTAGATCGACTGCGTAATCGTTGTCTTCAGAAATCGTGATCAACGGATGGATAAACATGATGTAAACTCGTCGAAGTTCGGCCTCTTCTCTGTGACGTTCTTGAGCGGAACTCTTTGTTTTCATTTTGCTTGTCTGATCCATGTGCATTGCAGCGATGACAGGATGGACGTACAAAGCCATCAATTTTTGATAAGTCTTCAGGTCCTCGACCTCCAAACCCTCAACATGACCGGTCACTCCTCTCGACCTGGCGTATTCCGCCCGAGATACACGGTAATCCTTGAGAAACTCGGACCTAAACATCGTCACACATCGTTTTGCAATAATCGCTGGTTCGCTTTCGGAGGGTCTGATGTTGAAATCGAGCACGCCTGCTAATGAGAGAGATCTGAAAGCTTCCGGTGATACTACGAGCTCTCCGTGCTTGGCCAGATCTGCGCCCCAAGTGAGTTGGTCGATAGGTTCTCCCAGAAACAGGTATTCTCGCCTACGCGTATTGTCACCGACATGAATACCAATCATTTGTCCCGATCCCAGTGCACAATGGACATTCAGGGAGGATATGGGTTCACCATTCCTGTTCTGGGCTCCACCGGCCATGACAGGGAAATCACTGCATTCATCCACGATTTGCGAAGCACAGGCAGTGGCTGCTGCCACGCAAAAATCCATTGGATCTTTATCAGTGCATCGCCACTCAGCAAAAATGGCATCCCCAGCAAACTTCTGAATATCCCCGTTGAACTCATAAATCTTGCTGACAATCAACTGAAAGTATGAATTGATAACCTTCGGAACGACGACAAACCAGACAGGAAAGAATTCACGAGGTCAGAGAAGCTACGGTACACCCACTTCAATGGCAAAATTGCCACACGGGGAAGGAGACGACGTACCTTCGACAGGGTCTCTGGATCAAGAAGCCTGAAAAGGAACAAAAGCGCGGTAAGATGTTGAGCACGCTTGACTAGCAGAAACCTCTTTTGGGCTGACGGGGAACACTTACGTCTGCCAAGACAGCCGTCCGTCGGATGTTGCAATACGATGAAGTAAGTCAATGAGACGCGATGAGTACAGAGTCACAATCTCGTCGCAAGTCCATCAAGTGAAACCCATCGATACTCACAGATAGCTTTGTAAAACCTGTTCGTAGCAACGCGAATGAAACATTACTGAGTGAGATATGGTACGATATCGCCCACGACGCTGCTGGAAAGCCACAGCAACTTACCCGAAATATCGACAAATAGCAGTGCACACTCGAAGCGAGATACCGACGGTAGTTTGCCCTCAAGTCCCCATGATATGCTACCGGCAGTGCTCCCCCGATGATTCCTCGACTTGCGTAAGAAATCTCTTGAGCCGCTGGATCCAGTCGAAGACTCCATGCTTCCAATGCTTCCATAGCTGCTGCGGCTGCCTGCCTTGGCCTTCGTGAGCCCGTAGTCATTCGAACTATTGAATATGTTGTCGATATCCTCGCTGAGATCTGCAACTGATTTATTCACGGAGCCATCTTCTCGGGCCTTCCTAAACATTTCATCGAGTGCTTCTTCCGACTTTCGCCGCATCATGGCCACTGGTGTTTGTACTTCTTGCTTTGGAGACACATCTTCGGCGTTCTCGGGGGCTCTGTCAGCATCGCTATCTCCAAGGTTCACACCAGAAGTGTCGATGAAGAACCCAACTCCAGTATCCTCTTCAGGTTCAGAAATGTCCAGGCTTGACAAATCGCTGACTTCGGACATGTCATCACCACTTGAAACTAAATCAATCATTTTGTGTTTTCCACCCCCTTCGGCAGCTTTCTCTTTCTTGTCAGCCTTTCTTTTCTTGCGTTCCATCTCGGCTCGAATCTCTTTCCCCAAAAAGTCGAGAACGCAATTCGGGACATGACTCGACAGCTGATTGATGGATGCGAGGATTTGGGCTCTTGCAACGAATGCTTCTCCACTCTTTTGCGTCATTACAGCCCTTCCAACTTTCTCAAGTTCGGAACGGATAGCCTCCAAGTTCAGCCCCTCACCTGGCAAAGGTGCAGCCATCATTGGCAATCCCATTGGGGGCATTGGAAAGCCACCAGGGCCCGTGGGCAACATCGGTGGCTGCGCGGGACTTGCCTTTGGCTTAGCCGGAGCTGCGACTCTTGGTGCCTGGAGCTCATTCAGCAAGTCATCAACGTATTCATCATCGTCGTCGTCATCGCCATCAGTGGTGTACTCGTCTGAAGAGATTAAGCCTCCGCTTGAACCTCCTATGTCGTCGTCATCCGAGGATTCTTCTTCCTCGCCATCGGTAGAGAAAAGGTCGGAATCACTCGAATCGTATTCAGAAGAGGACGAAGCTATATCGGAGACATCATCGTCCGTTTCCGAGCCAACTGCCTGGATGATCCTATCCTTCACAATGCCAGTCGGAACGACATTGGCCTCGGGCTTTATCCCTGTCATTGGAGCGGGAAACTTATGTTCTGGGACAAGCGACGAAGGCTTTGTCGCCTGCAGCTCCTTCAGCAGTTCGTCAACATATTCATCGTCTTCTTCGCCTTCGTCACCGGATTCGACATCGTCTGAGGATTCGGCCGAGGAATCGTCTGAATCCTCATCGGAATCGTCGTCATCGTCAGAATCTTCCTCACTGTCGTCGTCGTCGTCCTCATCGTCCTCGATGGGCTGCGGTGGCGCTATTCTCATGATCGGTGGTTGCTGCTGTTTTATTGTTGGAGGGGCCGTGCTGGCTGTCGTCACAGATGCTGTAGATGCAGTCACCACGCTTGCTGACATGCCTTTCGGCATCGGAGCATGCGGTGTTGGAAACAACAAACCTCCTTTAGTCTCCTTCAATTCGCTGAGAAGCTCCTCCACGTAGTCGTCCTCCTCAATGTCCGAACTTGTGTTTGTTTCCGACGGTTTATCACTGGGCGTCTCGCTGCTAGGACGTTCTGCGGATGGAGTCACAGCTGCCTGGTCTGACATGCCCGACCCCGAGCTGGATTCCAACTCAGAATCCTCTTCCGACGAGTCTTCTTCAGAGGACTCGTCATCCGAAGCTGATTCCTCGTCATCGTCATCGTCCTCTAGGCCAGGGGGCAAGGACCACTTGGGATGTGGAACAACTTGGGGGTGCGGTTTTGATTGTTGCGGCACCATGGCTGCCTGGAGTATTGTTTGTGGTTGCGATGGGGGTGCCAGAGGTGTTGGCTGTGGAATGGATTGTTGAACTTTCATTTGGGGAAGAGTTTGTGGAGCTTTTAATTGTGTTGCCACTGGTGCCGGTGGTTGATCTTTCATTTGAGGAAGGGTTTGTGGAGCATTTAATTGTGGCGGCGCCGCTGGTGCCAGTGGATTCGTTTTTGCTGGTGTTGGTGTTTGGACCTGTTGGTCTGGTTGCTTTTGAAAAAGAGCCGCCAATTGAGCTTGGCTAACAGCGCTGTTGCCCTTAATTGAACCCGAGACACCTCCACGAATTTCTCCTATTAGTTCATCCACGTACGCATCTGATTCGGAGGGTGTGGTGGTTGATTTGTCGTTGATACTAGTGGCCGCCGACTCGGACGGGCCATCGGATGCGGCGGACGAAGAAGATCCCGACTCGATTGAAGACGACTCTTCGGAAGAGTCATCCTCTAAGGAGGAACCAGTATCCATATCTTCATCCTCATCACTAGTAAGGATCCCCAAGGAAGGAGAGGATGACTTGGATGCAAGGGCAGATGTGGCTCCTTCGTCACCTCTCGGCGAGGTTCCAATAAACTGAGGAATAGGTGTCTTTGTATCAAAGGACCCCGAGACAATCGATCCCGAGAGTGGTAGTTTTGCTAATTGACTTGGTGGCGGCTGGTCACCCTTAATGACCACATTGACCGACAATGCTGAGTTTTTGTTAGAGGCATCGCTTCCAACATTGGAGGTGCTTGTTGTTGCAAGTTCTGAATCCGTTATTTCGTGGGAAGACGAGCCAGATCCAGAGCCAGAGCCAGATTCTGACCCCGCCTCGGAAGATTCCTCAGCGGAAGATGAATCTGATCCATCCTCCGCGACTTCTTTGCCATTTTTGACCAGTGATGCGGGTGGAGCTGACTGGGGGAATATCGGAATTTGGGATTTCGACGTGATGGGTGCATGGATTTGTTGGGGTTGGGGTTGTGGCTGTTGCAATGTCAGTTGCTGATGTCTTTGCTGCTGTTGCTGCTCAACTTCTTCCCGAGCATCCAAATCACTCGACTGCGTTTCGGAATCATCTGACGAGTCGGAAGCTTCACATGCCTCGGGTGGGATGACTGCGGGATTAAAGGTAGGTTCATTACTCTGAGATTTGGCTCCAGTACTAGGTCGAGGAGCTGCGAGCAAGGCATCCGATGCGGCAAGGAGCGCATCAGTGGCATCAAGAGCTGCTTGGCTAGCGGCGAGCACTTGCAAGGCAAAATCAGTCCTCGCCTTCGTTCTCGCTCTGACAGACGCCAAAGTCAAGCGAGGTCTCTTGGGAGTGGTTCCTTCTTCCGATTGCATGCTGCCAAACTGATGTTTGCAACTCCTTCTGTAGCTACCTATTAATAGTAGTGCAGGGTTAGCTGACACGGTGCGGGCTGCTATGCTACAGTGTATCTCAATGGAAGTCTTGGCAGCCAAGCACACCCACCCACATCCGATCAAGAAATTTTATGATGGCTGCTTTGCTTGCTTTTGATGTTTTGATGCTGTGAATCTGTGAATGCGTGCCGAGTGTGTAGGGTCATTCTCTTCATCAATGACCTTCCAACGAATGCTGACGCGAGAAGGGGAGAACATGAGTCACAAAAAAGAATACCGTTCAGGATTCGATTCGATTCTATTCTGAAAATTGGCGGACGTCACATCGAGGACAAAACATACGACGTGTAATACACGAGAAGGCGTTACAGAGGGGAAGTTATCTGCATCGTACAAGGCTTAGCCCTCTAGCTAGTAGGCAAAGAAAGAAGAGTTGGAATTCAGGCCTAGATTCCATGCGATCAGCGAGATAATTGAGGAACAACATGGGGGGCAAAGGGCTTGGCTTTGCGGGATCCACAGAGGACAAAACAAAACTTTTCCAAGTTGAAAGACGAGTTATGGAAAAGCACGGTACGGTAAGTTTGCCCTTAAGGCAAGCATTCTGACAGACCTCCTTGGTATTACCACCCGACCACGTTTGGCAGCAGAACAGGTGCTTATTACATGCATGCACAGGTCGGCGTCGCCAGCCCATTTTTAACGAAATCCTGCACCTCTTCCCATCTACACTCTCGTCCCTGACGCTCCAAGGACATCATTGCAGGTCTTCAACCGCGTTTGTTTGTGTGCTGCTCGAACGCCGAGGTGGCGTGCCGCTGCGAGTGCGACGAAATGGTCTACCAAAACCAGAGCGTCTCGAGTTTCGAGATCGATTCCTCCTTTCGTAGTTGCCTGGCAACGAGGGACAGAGCTTTCGCATCTCTTTGACAATGGCTCCACGATCGATCTTGAAACTAGGTTGTTGTCCTTGAAGCCACTCTACTTGATTCAAAATCATCCAGAGGAGCGCTTCGGTTTCGTTGGGGCTCCTTGCCAGTTGGCAAACTGTCCTCACGACTTCCTTGTATGTCGCCGACAGAGATAGCTGAGGATTCAAATCATTACTGATAAATGGCAACACCCTCATAATCAGCATGCACAACCGTATCATATCCCCTCGCCGATGCGTTGAGACGACATCAACGTCGTCTTGCAGAGTCTTTAGCACGAGCATGAAGTAACCTGCCGACGACTCGGGGACTGCCAGTGCCTTGTGTTCAAGGTAGCCATACGAGTACATATCCCCATGTACCAGGGCAGAGTTTCTCTTGCTCTTTGAGGATTGAATGCGGTTGAATTCGCCAACCCTTCGAACCCACTTCTCAACGTTCACTAGATACTGCTCAAGCATCCAATCAGCAACAAACGGCTTTGCGTTCCCCAAAGTGGTTGAGAGCAGAGAATACACTTCGTGAGCTGCATCCATCAAATGGGAAACCTGAGCCCGGTTGCTAGCAGATGCTGGAGAAGTGTGCAGAGACGCAATCAATGCTTCGTACTCGGTAACGGTCTCGTACATCTTTTGCAGGGTTTGTTTGGCATCTTCCGCACCATCGGGCCTCTCTAGAAAACGCCCCACAAGCAATCCCCAAACTTGAAGAACAAACACGAACATATTCGAATGCAGTGTAATGCTCACACCATCTTGGTGTTTTTCATCGCGAAGAATGGCACAGAGATCCGCGAGGCTTGCGCTGCAATCATGGGCAATTTCCACCAAATCGAAAGAGTCGGATTCGCTTAGCTCCTTGGTTTCCTCCATGCGTCTGACCACTCTGGTTGCGTTTGCTATCAGTGGCGCCTCGAGCAGTCTCAGATCACTATCAGACTCCTCGACGCATGCTTCCATAAGACCGATCCATTTATTAACGTTTTGAGGCCCGTCTTTGTGGCCCGAGTAAGCCCATGCTGCTATTACTGGGTGGAACGTCTGAGCTCGTGGTTTTGGATCCAGCGATGACGTGCCAATCAGGGAGTTTAGCAGCGCTTCGGCTTGCTTGACCCCATTCTTTGTGCCAGTCCGGATATACGCTTGAATAACAGCTTCATAGGTTTCAATGTTTGGATTGACACTATCGAGGGTCATCATCTCCTCGAGCCAAGCATTCATTCTGTATGCATCTTGTACAGCTTGACAGTCCTCGTTGAATGGCAAGAACCCGTTTCGAAAAATCTCAGCATGAGAATCCCATGGGACAGCCCTCATGTGGGGACGGGAGAGTGTAGATTGTAAGCCCCCACTCCATCGAAGGCCGGCATTATAGCACTGAATGTCAGGCTGCAAGGTTCCATCTGTGGGATTCTGGTCCGCAAGAAGCTTCATTTTGTCAAAGACATCTTGTGCAAAGATTGGGTCAAAACCTCCAAATTCTCCTTCCACGGTGGCTGGGTAGCACATAGAAGAAAGCACAGAGAGGAAGGTTTCTCTATTTGGGTTGTCAATGTTGTCAAGACTGAATCTTCCCGATTCGCCTCCAACTTGTGCCCACAACTGTATCACAGCATTGACGACCCCAATCGATGGCTTTGGATAGAATTTCTCGCCGGTAACGTCTGCGGGAGCCTCCTCATTCATATTATCCAATAGCAGTTTGGCACGCATCGCTACATCCAGTGGACTGGGACCCTCCAAACAACCAAGGTAGGCCACATAGGTACTGGCATTTGGTTGAGCAGATGTGGTGGACCACAGATAGCGAACAATTCTCGTGGCAATGTCATCTACTCCACGAGGTTTGTCCTGCCATGCGACGCGACGGTTCGCTTGCGCGAGACCGTTGAGGATGCTGTAGGCAATTTCGAGAGAATGGGGGGAATCAACGGCTTGTAGCATCACCCGATGTTCGTCTGGTTCTTGTTTGTTGTTGCTATCGCCATGGTAATTTTTGGACTGTTCATGGTTGATCCAGGTGCGGGCATTCTCAATCTGATGTTGCAGTTCAGTCTCAGGGTCTGGTGCGAAGATCAAATGTGCCACTGGACCGTTTGTCCGTTGCTTTCGATGAGTTTGGCTCATCCAATCGCCAATGACTCTTGCCATGGGGTTCGCGACTACCCCTCGTGACACGTCGCTGGGCTGTATGCTTCCAGGAAGGTATTGAATGGTGTATTCTTCGTCGTCCTCTTCGCCGATGTAAAAGTAGTCATCATCTTCCGATTCTTCATCTTCTTCCTCCTCCTCGTCGTCGCTGTGCAGCTGCAAATTTGCGTCCACGGCTGGTATTGCCACGGCTTTTGGCAACGAGGGTGCGTCACCAAACGCATAGGGTTGTTCAAGGCAGCATTTGCTTGATAGGTCATGGCTACTTTGTTGTTGTTCTCGATACCGAAAGCAATCCAAAGCTCGGGCGACGGCAGCTGCCCGAGCTGCTGCCATTCTGCTGTACATGATTTCCCCATTGTGTTCTTTGGCATGTTCTGATAACGTTTCTAGTGTGCCACATGCAAAAACCTCTGCAGTGATGGGACAAGCAAAGTTGGCTTTCCACATTCCTAGTGAGTCCAGCTGAACCCGTTTCAAGGAGATGCATGTTTCTTTAAACGAGACTCCATGATGTTTTTCATACCAATCTTGCAATTCTTGCTCCATTTTTGCATTGAGGCGAATTGCGATTTTGCGTGGATTTGTAGGCAATGCTGATTGTAGTGGTTCTTTATCATCTGCACTACTAGAAGGAGCTTCGTCTGGCTTTTGCTTGCTTTTCGGTCTTCTTCTTCTCCTGGTTCTGGTGGATGCCCCACTTGCCGCTCCATTCTCATCTGGTTTTTGGGATCGCCTACTAGTAGAACTGGTCCGTGATGATCTTTTTCGTTTGTCATGATGTTTTCTGGATAGTTTTGGTGGCGCTTCGGTAGCTATGGGTAGAATGGAGACCAGGGTTCCTTTATTATTGTTGACTGGATTTAGCTTGTTGGTTTCTTCTTTGACAGGTGGTGGCGGGAGTAGCGAAAATGATCGGACGTGTATTCGAGAAAATGGTTGATATTGACTGCTGCTGCTGTTGCAATCACATTCGACGAAATTATTGCTTGGAAGGGTATGGTTTTCAATGACACACCCAATATGTTGAGACTGTGGCCTCAGGCCATGTCTTTGCCGTATCCGTATTATCTTTCCTCCCTGTCGCACAATCCCATGTCTTCCGATCATTGCTACACTGGTAATTGATATCAGTTAGTTGCACTTATCACCATTCGAGTTCAAGCCTTGTCTTGCTTCTCCTGATGAGGTTCATTGGATCATCCCTGGACGAGAAAAATGAGAATGATGTTTGAGTGGTTGCGAAGGCTGCAGTACACCCGGTACCCAAATTAAGCCTGTTGAGCAGTGTCTTTCAACACAGCTGAGCTGAAAGGGCTGGTCTTGTCGCCTAACAGCTCTCGCTACACGTACCGGTACTAGTACCGTATGGTACCGGTACACCGTCACCAGCCTTCCAAGGTAGTTACTACCGGTATTGGTACCGGCCGGGCAAGTAACAAATGTATCTCTCATCTTCTTTCTAAAGACCCCTTGTATTCAACAAGCTATCGTACTACCGTAGCTATTACTTCGCCATACTAGTAGAGTTGTACATTATTACCAGCTACCTACCCTTAGCTCTGAACTGAGAGATCCAGAGAAAGAAGGTCGGAACCTCTGCTTTTTAATGTCAAGTTTTACCAGTTTTACCAGCTTATTTAGTCAGTTTGTCACGTCAGCTGATTTGCTGTTGACGCTTTCTTTGCGTTCGAGCAAACGACTGAAAGAACTTTGCGTCGAAGACCGATGTTCTGTTTGAGCCGATAATCAATACGTCTTCAAAGCCAATTCTCATTCTTTGACGAGGACTACATCTAGCTAGCTAGTAGAAGGAAAGAGCCAATCCTTTCATTTTGTTCTCGGTGGCTGACAAAAGAGAGGAGAGAGAGATACTGTGACGATAAGATTTTATATTTATTTGTGTCTATCTATGTTTTTGCGTAAAGAATAACCATGTCGACGACCATAACCACGAGTGAAACAACTCTGACGACGGACTTGAATTATTCCGTGTACAGCACTGAGAATGACGGCCAACAACAGAGTCAACTCTTGGTAGAAGGAGGTTCCCCCGAAGAACTGATACTGCCTCCTCCCAGTTGTTGGTTCACAGACGATTTGGCTGGCACTACGATGAGCTCTACTACTTGCAACAACAACCATTATCAGAACCATCACCAAGGACCGCCAAGCGAACTCAAACACGAATTGAAATCACAAGCGTCAACATCTACTACAGCTGCACACGTAAATGGAAATGGCGCTACAAACTACTACTTGACCACGTCCAACGAAAGACATCCCTTGACTACCGTGGTGACTGGATTACAATTGGAAACAGCAGCCTCAACAACAACAACCAACAGCAGCAGCAGCAACCACAGCTCTCCAAACAGTTCTCCGCCTCGTACGACGACGACACCACCGTTGGAGTCTTTTCGAATAATGAATCCTCCGGCACGAGTCGTAGCTGCTCCGTCGCCCTCGTGGAAAGAAATCTCATCGCAAGTCTTGCCCACAGCCGCCAAGGAACTTTTGTCGAGTTCCATGAGACGCATCTGCTACACGGCACGCTTGTCGTATTCCAATACTCGATGGCACCGCAAGTATTCCGACATTGGAAACAATACGGGAGGATATTTTCAACCCGACTATGCTAGTTTGAACTTGAGCAACAACAACAACAGCAATTCTCAGCCACAACAGCCATTGCCACTCGATTTACCGCCGTTTTCCAGCTTGCCCTGGGTCGACCGACAAATGGTACGAGAATGGAGGACCTATCTGCCAGAAGAAGCATTCCTCAACAACCAAAAACAACTTCAACCACAAATAATGAACGACAACAGCAACAAGTCAAGCGACGAAGATGCCGATGTCGACGATTTCAATCGGGCCAGAACATTGGTGCCACAACCAATCCAGCGTCCAATGTGGCAAAAGGCTGACATTTGCCATGAATGTCTCAAACCCTTTGGACCAACGCGTCTGAGACATCACTGTCGGCTCTGTGGATTTTCCTTTTGTCACTTGCACAGTGGACAAGTGCACCGATTGCCACATTTGGGATACGATCCAGATGTGCCAGAGAGAGTTTGCGATCCTTGTAAGCGGGGGTTGCTCGCACAGAATCTTGCCGAACGGATTGCATGGAGATTGGCTCGTTGTCGGGATCTCAAAACAAAGCAGTTGACACCCTATTTCGAAACGGGGATTGATACGGTCGAAGAAGCCGCGTTACGCTTGGCGGCCGCTGCTTTGGCCACGGCAAGGTCAGTACCACTCGGTGCACAAGCCCATGTGGCCGTCGAAACTGTGGAAGTTTTGCGAAAACACGGCTTGAACGGAATTTATGGCATTATGCTGAGACAAGAATTCTTGGCGGCGGCTGATCTGCTGCGAAAGGCGTTGGGAATCAACAAAACCGCCTGGCCTCTCAGTGTACACGAACTCAGTGCTGCCATCTTTTATGCTCTGGCACAGCATCGAGCTATGAGAGGGATCAATCCTGATAGAGAAGAACTCATCCATACATTGATCTCGGACGATGAATCCAAGAGGTCTTTCTTGGCTACCTCCAAAGGAAGAACCGACATTGTCGTGGACGAAACAGACGAATACAACCCGTCCATCGAACAGCTCTTGTCCTTGGCAGATCCTGCAAACACACCAGATTTATTAGAGACACCTAGAAAATTCTTGAATGGAAAGTTGCAAAAGGATACCATGACATGCTCCTCGAAATCATCGCTGCCCTTCACGCCGGTTTGTACCCCCATGGCGGACCACGTCTTGAATTCACTCATCTTTTACGCTCCCATTGCGTTGACTTTCATCTACGCTGCCAAGGAAGTCGAGATGCAACTGCTGGCGGCACAACAAGGCTGGAAACTTTTGTACGCCTGCCTCAACCCAGAGGAAGATGGAACTGTGACAGACATGCCCGCTTCGGCTGTCTTTGTCCACGAGCAACAAAAGACGGTTTGTTTGGCCATTCGAGGAACGGCGACAATCCACGACGTCGTCACGGACGTCCGACAAATGCCAGTGTCCTTCCCGGAAGCAGAGCAATTGCCTGGCTCGAGTCATCCGGATGGATGGACCAATGTCAATCAAGGCAACGGGCTGGCGGTCTGTGGTATGGCATCGGCTGCCGTGAACTTGTTCCGGGAGCATATCGATGTCCTTTTACACCTGACGCAAGAGGGATACAGAATACGCATCACGGGGCATAGCTTAGGTAAGTGGTGGGATTGGAATCGTATCGTACGGACGTTGTGTTGAATACAGGTCGTTTGCTCACAAGCAGTGAACTGTCCAGGTGGAGGTGTTGCGACATTGCTCGGTGTTTTGATTCTCAAGGAACTGGAAAAGACCATTCCACCAGAAAAATTGAAGACGCTCGTTCGAGTCTACGCTTATGGTTCCCCGTCATGCGTGGACGCCAGCTTGGCGGAGTTTACAGAGTCCTTTGTCACCACTGCAGTTCTTCATGATGATGTCGTGCCCCGATTGACTCCCACCAGTTGTCGTGGATTGCTCAAGCATTTGCTGCACATTCGAGAAACATGGGTCAAGGCTCACTTCACTGATGATCTGTTTGCCATTGGAGAACGAGCGAGTTTGGCCTGGGCACCACGATGGAGGAATGGATTCACTTTGACAAGCACCTCCAAGTTGTCGTTGAAGAAGTCTTCCCGTTCCATCAAACGATACTGCCAAAAACAAATCCAGGTTGGTACGCAACACCTTTTGACTGTGAAGGAGAAGCTAACTGGAGAGTCAGCAGCAGCGAAAGTCTCTGCTTTTGGTGTGGAGGACTTGCCCAGCAACGAAGAGAAAAAAGAAACGTCATCACAAGGTGAGCTGGATGAAAACCCAGGCTATCAAGGTGCTGCGGATGGAACCACAGAGGCGGAACCTACCTTCTTGGTTGAAATGATGGGTGGCAAAGATAATAGAACAGACGCAGTCGTCATTGACGGTGAAGAGTTCTGGCAGGCGGACGAAACCCACACTCTTATCGAAAGTGACGAGGAGAGTCTTGCAACAACGCAAATGTTTTCAGATGCTCTGGATGAAGCCCGAAGGTATGTCGGTTCGTTCTTATCTGCTGTCGCTTCTGGGAACATCCAATTCTTACCACTCCGTTTGCGTTGGGATTAGCTACGAGGAAATGCATGTCAACGAAGGACCGATCGAGTCTGTAGTAGATGATGTGAAGAAGGGTTCTCCTGAATTCATCCCGCCAACAACAAACGGAGCCGATTCCGCGGATGCAAACGAAGACGACGAGGGACCAGGAGCCGTCGTGCTTGATGAAATCCCTTTGCCTCGAATGTTCGTCCCTGGCAAGATTGTGCACATATACTCTCATCGCGGCACGTACAAGGCTGCATATGTACCAAAAGCATTTCGCGAGCTGCGTCGCCTCAGTCTGGCTGGTAACATGCTTTCCGACCACACGACAACTGACTACTACGAGTCTCTTCTTGAAGTGAGATCAGTTCGGAACGCCGTAGAGCTGCCACCAAAATGGACGGCTTTTGACGAGGACGTCACATGCTCTTGTTGTGCCAGTCGTTTCACGTGGGCGAGTACATCGGATAGTGAAGCTCAGGAGGCTCGGGACAAGCATAACTGCCGATCTTGTGGAACCCTCGTGTGCAACCCTTGTTCATCGAAAAAGATGCCGCTCCCTTCCATCGGGGTTACTGTGCCCGTTCGGGTGTGCGATCGCTGCTACAATGATCTGGGAGGTGTCCTCACCGGCACCGCTGCCATGAGACAAAGCACGGTAATCGAGGAACAGGAAATGCCTGCTGTCAAGGCGGCTGCCTCCACTGTTGGTAGACCTGAGCGTTATCGCCAGCGTCGCAGTGATGTTGTTGACGATCTTGCCTTGAGGATGAAAAAAGCTTTGCATGCCTAAGAGTCGGAGTAGTATAGAATAAGATTGACTAGATGTAAATATCTTTAAAACAAGCGAACCTAGATTCGCGCTGATGTTGAGATCTTCACTTTGAAGCTATGTTACCGGTACTGATATCTGTGAGCACGGACTTCTTACCCCCCTTCTGAGCGGCCTTAGGCCCAGTGATCTTGGCCTTCTTGGCTGCCGGTTCCTTGCCACCATTGGAGCCTGGAAAGCTATAGCCGTTGTCAAAACCACCTGCCATCTTCAAGAATGCCTTTTCAATGATGGGGACATAGATCTCAAGCTGACCAGGAGGATTACCGACCACAACTGTTTACCGACCACAACCTGTCTAGCAACCCCGTTTAGCCACAGTTTCAATATGTATTTGCCATTGGGATTTAAACCATCTTTCTATCAGGTGTTTGTGGGTACACAATGGGAGAGATGAAGCTCTTTTGGAACCTTCTCTCATAGGCAGCGCAGATACAAAGGCTGGCAATGAAGGAGCAATCCGTGACTCCATATTGCTTGATTTTGTAGGGCGAGACTGTTCCAAGGACCATCACTGGACTCATGGTCTTTCCTGTTCGTCCTCTGAATGAATGATTCTGATTCAATCGTCCCACTCTGCTGACCCGAATCACCGATTCCGCCCACTCTCGGGTTCTCCTGAAGATGGCACCCTTGCAACTGCATCCGAGGATACGGTAGCTACTGTAATAGTATAGAATAAGATTGACTAGAGTGATCTGCGCATTAAGACCGACCATTCCGCGGAATATTCTCTTCAGGTCTGTATATCGAATATAGTACATGTAAAGGGTGGAATCGATAGAACACATGTAGTTGAGAATGCCACAAAATTCGCAACCTCAGAGTATACTTAGAAGAGGAGTTACGGGCGGTTGAAGATTTCAGTCAATCCCCAGGGAATTCTTTTTCTCTGCAGATTAAGACCATATGACGTCACACGTAGCCTCTGGTACTGAACCTACGTAGGATCCTACTGTACCGGTACCGTGGACTATCGAGTGAAAAACTAGAGGGCCATGGAGGTCTCGAAGCACATGATACCGGTACCGGTACGTGGTACCGGTAGGCACCGCTATCCACAAAACTTCTTCCTCTTGGATGCATACTTCGTACCTGGTACCTCTATGTTTGGAAGCACCTCTATCGTTCGAAGCACCTCTTTCACCGGTACCATGGTACCTCTACCGTACCGACACTCCTTCCTTTCTCATAGACACTGCTTCCTCTATGGGCAGCCAGGCCACTATCCACACAGTCAACTCGACATCACCACATAGCTTGAGCAATGAACAGTGGATACGATGATAGTACCTGATAGATAGCGAGTCTATCCTCTAGTAGCTGGCTGCCGTAGTGGCCAGCTAGCTAGGTCGTATGTACAAGTTACTATAGAAATTACTGTACAAATCCAAGAATATTACGATGGTCTTAATCTGCAGTGGGTCTTAAAGTGCAGATCACTCTAGCTACCTAGATGTAAATATCTTTTTATCAATTGCAGCAAAAAGTGAGTATTCTAAATATAATTTACTGGGATTGACAGAGACAAGCCTTCAGGCTGGAGTTCTGGTGCCGAGTGGCACGAGGCAACAGAACTGTGGCTTGATGGGTTGACTCTGTGGTACTATTTCTATGGATTATATCGATTGCATTCACACACACCATTGGTGTTAAACATCAATGGTTGTTGGCACTTTTTCGCCCATTGAGGGCTCATCAGTACTGCTCACTGGGGTTGCATGGGTGAACCGGTGGAACCGTGGTTTGTGACGGCATGTATTAAATAGTTCTTCACATCTGTTGAGAAGTGTAGAAGGTTTGTTTCTCATACGTTTGAAGATGTGAAGCCGTTCTTGATTACATAGAATGCAGTCATTTGTCCCGAACGTTTTGACTGTGGACAAGGGGTTGCCCTGCCACAGTATTTTGAGGTTGTAGAGTTTCCGAATGTCAGATGCTGTGGGGTCTCCTGTGGTGGTTGCCACTGCTTTGGCAGCAAAGTGCCAAGCAAAGGTGTCCGAGTTCTTGGGTTTGGGTTTTTTGCCGCGTAGGAATTGGCATAGGCGTTTTGTTTCACTGACATGTGATGACATTCTGAGCTTGAGGAAGTTTTGTGTGGCGCCGATGTAGGATTTGGGGCTGGATGCAGGATTGGGAGGTTGGGTGCTTGTTGCTTCATAGATGACAATGGGTTTTCTGCAGTGGTTGTTGTAGGCACATCCATCTGTCAAACGGTTGGTGCAGTTGCATGGGCGGGTTGTAAAGTCAAGGGAGACAATTCCAGTATTGAGCTTGGTCATAAGGTCTCCATTGAAAATTTCTCGCAGGTTGGTGAATCTGTGGTATGACATTGCAGGTCTAATCCATTTGAGGGTTGATACTTGTTTTGGATGAGGTTCTGAATCACTTTCCAAATGGGAGTTGTCCAAGCTTTGGAGTAGCCAATGCAAAAGTATGTTGTTCTTCTAGCATCTCGTTTCTTTTGTTGGAGTTGCCGGTTTGTTGGAGATTTGGGTTTGAAGATGTGGTTGGCTTCTCGAAGAGTGGGAATCTTTGGCATTGTGTGCTTGTTGATGAGGTTGGCATGTTTCAAAGCTGCAAAGTGGTCAGGGTACAGATCTTGGAGTGATGTATCTGCATTATCTTCTGTGATTGTAGTGAGCTTTGCTAACCTGTGACACACTCCTCTGGGAATGGAATCGAAGCAGGTTGATGTGTGGGAGCTGCCTTTGTTGAGGTAAAGGAGTTGTTGGTTGGGTTTCAGGTGAACTTTGAATTGGAGATTCTGTTGATTTTGCCAGTACAGATCCAGATCTAGGTATGGGAGTGTGTTGCTGTGTTGACTTGTACTGGTGCTTTTTTTCGATGATTGGATGAGTAATTGGTTGAGTATCACTAGCTGCCCAGATTTCCATTGTGAATTGTAGGTAATCACCTTCGGCAATCTGGTTGATTCGATCTTGGAAGGTATTGCGCCATGTTAGTAGTTCATCATAGGAGCGTTTGCCTAGGAATACCAGGAACCCATCATCTCGATACAGACCTTCATAGATGGTGTCTTCAAAGCATTCCTCAGTTTCTTCAAGAGCATAAGCACCAGTGAGATCGGCAAGCCATGCAGATTCATGTCCTCCAATGGTCAGACCTCGTTCAGCTGGGTTTTGGTCACCATCATATTCATAATAACGGTCTTGGAAAACCAAATAAGTGGATTGCATGCCAAATTGTATCATTTCCATGCATAGTGCAATTGTGTCTTTGACTGATTGTGGCAAGTGTTTGGAGAAGTGTTTCACTGCCTTTTCCACTAACTTGTATCGGACTGAAGGATAGAATGCTTCAGCGTCAAGTGAAACGATGGTACAATTGTTAGGATTGAGATTGAGGGTTTCTAATTTGGTTTTCAGGTCTACTGATTGGATGATGGTTTTAGACCTGTAATCGATGTTGTGTTCTTCAAAGATCTTTTTGATTGCCAAGTAGCCCATTTTGGGATAGGCTGCTACAAAGTTCTGAGCAGGTACGAGCAGGCGAGTTGGATAGTTGCCATTCTCATCTGGATGCTTGTGATCTTTCACTGTCAGTTTGGGGGTGGGAATGGCATGGGATCGGAGGGATTGACTTATAAAGCCATACTCTCCAGATGATAGATGTGGTTTAATTTTCCGTAGTAGTTCAAGGCCTTGTACTTTGACCTGGTGAAGATCTGAGTGGGAAATAGGTTTGGCCCGTTGGCTGAGATGCTGTAGTACTTGGCTAATGTAGAACTGTTTGGATGTGAGACTGAAGGAGTTTGTTTTGTCGGTTGGAACTACTACAATATCTGGATTGTTTCTGAGAAGTTGTTGCATGTGGTGGATGTCCTGGGTGGTTGGGTCAGAGGAAGTAATGTGTTGGTAGGCATAAACCATATTGAGCACTGCTCTATTAAGATCTTTGAGGAACAATTCCAAGTCATGGCTGCCTTGTGCTGTTCCACAACAGCGGGTGGGTTTGAGGTTGGTTTTGAGACCAACTGGTAGTGCAGATATGATGGAAGAGCTAGAATTGGATGTGGTGGTTGAGTTGTCGTGTTGTTGTTTTTGTTGGTTGATGAAATCTTCTTTGAGGCGGACTGTGGTAGCAAAACGTTTGAGGCCTTTGAAGGCATCTGTAGCTACGACATCAAAAGGAGGGTGGGGGACAAACTTTTGGCTGGTTCCTGTCACTATTCGGTGTACCTCATCCGTAAGGGAGAGATTTGTAGGTTCTGGGTGTATTGGAGTAGTGACAATGTCGGTTGTGCCCATCGCATTATCGTGAGGTGGTGTGGTGTGTGTGAAGCCAGGGTTGTTGTGTTCTTCGAAACTAAAGTCGGAGATTGTGGAAATGCTGAAGGTGTCTTGCAAAGAATGGTCGTCAGTCATCATTGTAGTGGAAACCAATGTGTCTAGGCTGCTCATGGAGATGTCATCCAAAGGGACGATATCTGTTGGAGTAGGCACATAGATGGTTTGGCACGGAACTTCCCAATGATAGTTGGTTCGAGTTAGGGGATGCTCGAGTTGTCCTGCTACCCAATGGTAGTTGGTAGCTCGAAGAATTTTTTCGGTGACAGCAGGGTTCTGGTTGTGGCGAGCTCTGTTGGATCGTTGATTTATGATTGTGTTGAGTCTCTGCCAGTCAGGTGTTGTTGTTGTGTCTGGTTGTAGAGAGTCTGTGTGAAAGGTGGCCAGGGGAAAGGTATCAATACTAGAAGTATCCTCGAAGTTGAGTGGCGTCATGGTTTGGGTCGAGTTCTCATCCCAATTGTGGGGACTCCACGGTATCTCTGAAGATGGGTTTCTGTACCAATGGTGTTGGGTAGTTGTTGGTGATGTTTGGACACCTATTGTATTTCCTGTATGTGGGTGGAATGGCTTCATGGTCGTCGTTGGAGTGTTATTAATGTAATCGATTTTGGTGCGAAGGCTTGAATTTATCAATTGCAGCAAAAAGTGAGTATTCTAAATATAATTTACTGGGATTGACAGAGTCAACCCTTCAGGCTGGAGTTCTGGTGCAATGAAGGGTTTTAAGGGTTAGGCTCTCAATACATGCAGTACATGTACACACAGCATCGGAGTTCGGAGCGAAGACTGTCACACTGACAGCTCACTGCATTTGGTACAATTAAAGGCTGCTTTCCCCTTGACCCCAGGCAAAACCATTGAGAGCAATGTGGCACGTGGCATTTAAATACTTTTAACGGTTGAAGATTGAATGAAAGCTGAATGATTAACTCTACATGTATGACATAATTAAAATATCCCACATCACTTATGTATACAAATTCTCTGGACTTCCTGCTGGCACCCTGGCACGCACCTCTGGCTTTCTGGCACATCGCGCTAGCAGCTACTTGTACATTCTAAAGTACATGTAGTGCATGATCGTGAAACTTACTTTACCAGTAGCCAAATTCAACAACGTTAACATATGGAGCGACTGAAGCAAAGCTATATCTGTACAGAAGTGCCATGGCATGGAGATCTCGAGGCGTGTCAGATAAACCAAACACCGAGATCGACTCGGACAATCCACTATGGATGATCTGAAAAAGCGCAAAACCAGTGATAGGGAATAATAAATGGGTGGACGCATATATGGGCATACTTCCATACCCATATATGGATGCAAGATCCTGAAACTATGGCATATGTTTCACATATATGCTTACCTACTAGTAATTTACTGCTACCTAGTTGTCTCTAGAAGAGCTCACCACTGTCGACTTGTCCACGGAACTCAAGGTAGTCCTTCTGCTCTCTAAGGTTTCTTTTGCCTTTCTTCTCCATTGCAATTGCCTCCGAAACATCGTGCACATCCCAAAGGTCGTCATTGCATTTCAAAAACATCAAACACTCAAACATGTATGGAGACAACCGATTGCGGATTGGAGTCAGCACATGCTTGCACTGGCTAAAGAATCGCTCCACAATGTCATTGGTAGCCAAAATGAAATCGGCATTGATGTAGTCACTGTTGTCGTCCTTATCCGCCAAGACTGTCTCTCCCATCTCTTTGAGGAGGGATTCCCGATCCCTTTTCAGCTTTTTCATCGCACGCTCGGGTGTATTGAGATTGGCATCGTCATCGTCGACTGCTGTGGCAGTAGCACCTTCCTCTGCTGTCGGTTTCTCGAGCTTTGCCACAGCCAGTTTTTCCGCAGGTGTCAGAGTATGGGCCAACTTCTTCTGGATTTTAATTACTCCTCTTTCAAAATCCTCGAAATCTTCGCTCAAATGACAACCATCCTTCAGATACATACACTTGTAGCCATCTTCAAGGAGAGCTTCCTCATTCGATGCTTGCTCAAGCTTGCTCCCAGCCATCTGGAACAAATCCTCGCCCTTAGCCAAAGTCAAATTTGCTCCCTGGCCTTTCACACAGAATACGTCCTGTACATTGAGTACCTTCAGTGCACAATCTAGCTCCTCTCTGTTGACACGTTTGAACGACTTCTTGGGCAACTGATTTCCATCAGCGTCTTCTTCTTCAGCGTCCGAGATCTCTTCATCTGCACTGTCAATATCGTCAACGTCTTCCATTTCAATAACATTGTATGGCTGTAAAGCATCCATGGTACGAAGCTGTGTCGTGTTGTCGACGTTGCCCTTAGCACATGTAAATTGTGATCTCCACCGAACACCGGCAATTTTAGACACAGATTTGGCACCCATGTTACGGGCTTCGGCGGCATTCTTGAGAGTCCCAGCCTTCACAGCCACCTTATGGCAAGTCTTGAGAGTTCGGTCTACAACAGGCTGTTCTTGAATGAATCTTTTCATTTCCAAGTTGTGACGATGGCTGCGGCACCCAACTAAAGCAAGGCCCAACTTCTTGGCCAGACTGATGTTGGTGCTGCAGTTGTCCCCACCCAAGTTGGTTACATGCTGTGTGAATGTCCTGTCGTAGAAGTCCGCTAGTACAGTCTTCATGTGGAACGCATGCTCCTTAGCACGGAATCTTGTGGCTTCTTCATAATCCACGTTGTCGGCATCCAGCTCATCCAAATCGGCATCATCGACAATTTCTCTGGTATCGCGGCCTCCTTTTCCTTTTGGCACCATCAATGGAGAAACCGAAAGAAGATAGACATTTAGAGCCGTACCTTTCATGAAAACAGCAAACATGGCATTGTAGTGTGTCTTCTTGTCAGTCCAGCCGTCGCTATTAACAGCAAATCTAGCTGGAAGCTTCTTCAGCTTCAGTTTTTCTTCATTGATTTGAACCAAGTTTCCAATATACTTGCGCAGAGATTTGCATGAAACGAAATGCTGGAATTTCAGAGACGCTCGCCAGATGGGCTTTTCGGTAATATCAAGCGGCAAATTCTCCTCAATAATCAGCCGCAGCAGGTCATGGACATCCTCGTCCTCATCTGATGCAATTCTGAAGAAAGGACTGTCAGTTAAAACGGTTTGGACTTGTCCACCTTTCTTGACCTTTTCTAGCTCTCTTTGATATTTCTTGGGACCAAGGCAACCTTTTGATCTGAGATGAGTATTGAAGTTCTGGTAGCCAGATTTCACGGCATGCTCCAGAACTCCCATTTTACATTTGACGTTATTGCATCGATAGTATTGATACCAATCACCCTTCTCGTCATGGTAGCCACATCCACCATAGGACATGTGAGTTTTGACCATTAGTTCGGCATCACCCAAAATATCCCTCGATTTCGAGAACGCGGCTTTACAGCTTTTGGGTTTTGCCGGAGCGTCGGGTGCATCTAAGAAGCGCATTTTGGGCAAAGTGGATATTATGGGGAAGGTGCACAAAACGCTGGATCAAATTTTAGCGACTCATTTATGTAGGTCCCTTATCATGTCGAAGGGCATTATTTTACCCACATCCCAAAGCGAGCAATACTGCTTGGGAAGCTGATGGTTGGAAGCCTACAACCAATACAAGAAAAAGGTGAAAGAGGCCATTCCAGTGCCCACACGGGCAGCATTATACAGTCTGGAGCAGAAGACTCTGGAGCTTTTGCGCATTTGCAAATGGCACACCTGTTGCTCCCACAAGCAACAGCTGAAACTCAACAAGCCAAGAGCAGAGCAAGAACGCCTTGGAGCCGCTCCAGGCTAAAAAGGCCAAGACGGTTACCACCCTTGGACGATGAAGATGACGATGCATACATGTGAGAGCATCTTTGTTGGCCCATTTGGGCATTTTCGGCCTCTGATGATCTTCTGGCCTGGTTTCTGAAAAAGGTTTGGGCAAATCGGCAAATCTGTTCATCCAATTGGACATTTCTTCTGCAGTGTTTGCGTCACGTTCCTGTGACTTTCTGCGAACTGTTTCTGCAACAACCAAAGACATTTCTGCTCAGCCTGCTTTCTATTGCCTCTCCTACTAAATGGTACTGTTCTCTGAGCTAATAACTAAGTTAACGATTATCTAGTTGTAAACTGCTTTGTCATTGTTGTCGTAGTCATGTTCACTTGGGCAAAGTAATGACGGATAATGTAGGTATGGTTGTGTCGGCTTGTGCACGGGATCTTTGGCGTCTTGCATGCAATTTCAGCGCCATTGGTAAAATTCTGTGATGCCCTTTGCGGCTTGTGCTCACTATTTGTATGCACTTGCGCAAATTGTCCGGGGACTCCGGCAAAGCTACGTGCCGTCCTATCACTTACCCAAGCTCACTTTTTGGAGCATTTGCGCCAAATATCCACGCACTGGCATAAAGGGCGTACCGCCAGATCTCTGTACGGAGACACTTTTTCGACGCACTTCACAAAAATATGACGGACTCGCAGGGACATTATGTTTGTTCATTTGGCAATATGAGCTGTGAACGAGTACATGATTTGGCGT